AGAAGGCTGGCTGCTCCTTTCGGCTTCACGGGATTCGTTTCCACGGTGCGCAAAAGTGCCTCAGCCGCGGGCAGCCGCAGTGCTTCCCAATTACTATTTTCCGGCGTATAAGACGACCCGGCATATAAGACGACCCCCCCAATTGGAGGCATCTTTTTCAGGGCAAAAAAGTCGTCTTATACGCCGGCAAATACGGTAATTGTATTGATTCTGTGGTGAGGGAGGGCTCAATATAAGATTTCCAAGATAGCATTTTATCTAGCATTTGGAAAATGTTCCACATAGTCTCTTTCATTTGGATTTTGTCAGATGTTGTTTCTATACATTTTGTTCTCTAATTCTGAACTCCAGGAACAAGATGGTGGAATATTTGACAGACTGGGTTATGGGAACATCCAACCAGGCTACAGATGAGGATGTGAAATGTCTGACAAGGTAAAAAGAATACACTGATTATGCAACAGGTTGTTAAAAATAATTTATAGAGTGGTTGATTAATAACAGATGGAATTCATTGGCTTGAGGTTGAATGCTATGAATGAATGAATTAATTAATGAATGGTGGAGGGAATAGAAAAGAAATTTCAGCAACTGCACATTGAGTTCATTGTGTTTATGTTTACAAGAATCAGTCTGGTATATTTGGACTAGAAGTGGAAGAGTCTGATTTTAATCCACCTTCAGCCACAGAAGCTCCATGGGTCATTGTGGACTCATCATTCCCAGACCAAGAGACAGTCTGATATACTGCTAATTAAGTGCAGGAATAGAAGTGGGGAGGCCCTGGTTCTAGTCCTCCCCATCTACAAGATCTTCCTGGAAAGGTGGGGAGGTGTTGCTTCAGGCCATCACTTCTCTCTCAAGAACCAGTGTGATACAGAGGTCCAAGTGTTGGACCTGGGAAGACCCAGGCTCTAATCCTCTCTTAGGCATGGAATCCATGGCAACTTTGGGTCAGCTCCTTCCTGTCACCCAGAAGCTGGGTAGTGATGAAAGTGCTGGTTTAGAAAAGAAGAAACTCAAGTTCAAGTCCACCCCTAGCTATGGAAAGTCCAGTGTGACTTTAATCAGGCCCCTACTTCTCAGCTCAAGATGAGCAGGCTTAAGACTCTTGGTTGCTTTAGACCCCATGCTTCCCATGTGAAAATCATGTGAAAAATGCACTTTTCATTGATTCATTCCATTCATTGTTTTACTGTTCAGAGACTTGGACCAGGCAAGCATGGAAGCTGTTGTCTCTCTTCTGGCCGGGCTTCCACTTCAACCAGAAGAAGGAGATGGAGTTGAATTGATGGAAGCTAAATCCCAGTTATTTCTCAAGTAAAGGCCTATTTTTTAGCACTTGATAATTGAAATAGCCAAACTTCTATTCTACTTGGTCAATAAGCATTGTCTGGGCATGAATGTATACAGTGGCTATATGGTCTAAACACCCCTGTTAAAATGCCAAGTTTTTGAGATGTAACAAGATTAGACTAAGATAAATCACTTCAGAATGTTTTCTACCTCTAATATAAGATATAAACTCCGCAATTCAGTTGAAAAACAAACTGTAATGACTGTGAAGATTCTCAATCAGGTCATGGTTATCCCAAAGGTCCTTTTCCAAAAGGCACCTGGACTTTTTTGGTGTTTTCTTTGAAAAAATTTCACTTCTCATCCAAGAAGAACTGAAGAATAAGAAAAACAACAATAAAAATATAGACTTTTTATATCCACTGTAAGAGCAGATATCCTGCAAATGAACTTGGGAAGAATGTATGCCTGAACACTGAATATGTCATGAAGAAAGGCATCTATTTTGCAGATAAAATTATTTTGCAGATAAAATGTTTGAGGTGACCACTTTTATTGATTATAAGAAGATCTTCCTGGAGAGATGCAAACCTTTTTTTAATATACATTTAGGTACTTCACCCTGTTTATGAACCTCCTTAATGACTGCAGTGAAGTGGAAGATGAGAGTGCACAAACAGGCGGGCGGAAACGTGGGATGTCTCGAAGGTTGGCTTCCTTGCGGCACTGCACCGTTCTGGCTATGTCAAACTTGCTCAATGCAAACGTGGATAGCGGCCTTATGCACTCTATAGGTAAAAACGGATGAGTTTCTCCTTTACTTTGTGGACATTGGAAGTGCAAAACGATACCCAAACTCTTATCTTTTTGTTGTTGGTTGGTAGGGTTAGGATATCACAAAGATCTCCAGACAAGAGCTACGTTCATGGAGGTCCTCACCAAAATTCTGCAACAGGGCACTGAGTTCGACACCCTGGCGGAAACTGTGCTGGCGGATCGGTTTGAGAGATTGGTGGAGTTGGTCACCATGATGGGTGACCAGGGAGAATTGCCCATTGCCATGGCCTTGGCAAACGTGGTGCCTTGTTCCCAATGGGTAAGATGAATCTCATTGTGGGTTGCTCCTATATGCCTTTACATTGGTGAATGCTAAATTTGAGTTACAGTTGGGGTATATACAATGAGGACAGACAAAAGGGAGATCACAATCTACTGGTTTCCTTTAGGACAGGGGTATCAAACTCGATTTCATTGAGGGCCACATCAGGGCTGTGTTTGACCTCAGAGGGCCAGGTGGGCATGACATAGAACTTGTGTCGGGGGCACTTGTGGTGGTGGCCAAGTGCTAAGGCAGGACTTCCCTGAGACCTTTCTTCACTCTCATTATAATCTTCCTTCCTTCCTTCCTTCCTTCCTTCCTTCCTTCCTTCCTTCCTTCCTTCCTCCTTCCTTCCTTCCTTCCTTCCTTCCTTCCTTCCTTCCTTCCTTCCTTCCTTCTTTTTCCTTCTTTTTCCTTCCCTCTTCATTTTCCCTTCTTCTTTTTCTTCTTCTTCTTCTTCTTCTTCTTCTTCTTCTTCTTCTTCTTCTTCTTCTTCTTCTTCTTCTTCTTCTTCTTCTTCTTCTTCTTCTTCTTCTTCTTCTTCTTCTTCTTCTTCTTCTTCTTCTTATCTTTCCTTTTTCTTTGGCTTTCCTCTTTCCCTTTCTCCTTTCCTTTCCCTTCTTGCATGCTCAAATGCAAAAGGGGAAACATTTCTCGTTTTGTTTTTAGTTTGTTTTGATAGTTCTCTGCCAGCAAAAAGGGAGCTCGGGGGTGGGGGGGGCAACATGCCCTCCCCAGATCCGTTTTTGGCCTGGACAGCTCCTGCAGCCCTCTGCCAGCAAAAACAGAGCCTGTGCCCTCCCCAGCTCCATTTTCGCTAGCAGAGGCACCGCAGGCTGGTCCTTTTCTGTTTCCAGGCCAGCCCCATGGGCCAGATCTAAGCACCCCACGGACCGGATCCAGCCTGCGGGCATTGAGTTCGACACCCCTGCTTTAGGAGGTCTACACTCCAATGACGTTTTTTTTCTTTCTCAACAACTTAATAAAAGGAATATCTGCAAGGTCTTATTTTAAGAAGCAGTTTAAAAGGAACTTGACCTGGATATATTGGATATATTTGAGCTCATTCTGAAATGAGTTATACACTTTTTCATTAGAGTAGTCGTTGATTTACAACTGTAATTGACCCTGGAATTATGGCTGTAACTTGTCACTTGTGACATTTGTTAATTGGTTCACTGCATAACTGCCTCCAATTTTATTTTATTTTTTTGCGGCGGTTATTAAGTGAACTCCACAGTTGATAAGCAAACATCTCAGTCATCAAGTGAACCCATTTTCCCAACAGCTTTTTTCTGCCGAAAAGCAGAATTAAATGCTGGAAACATGCAAAAAAAAGGCTGAAAATCGTGGTCATGTGACTGCAGAATGGTTTCATTTATTTATTTATTTTTGTCAATTGCTTACAGAATAATAGGTATAAGTAAAAACATAGTTATTAATACACGGATACATATAAGAAAAATAAATGTCTATGGAGATTCTCAGTCATCCAGGTCATAGTTGTCCCAAAGGTTTTTTTTCTTTGAAGACATTTCGCTTCTCCTCTAAGAAGCTGCTTTAGCTCAGAACTGAAGAAGCTTCTTGGATGAGAAGTAAAACGTCTTCAAAGAAAGAATAAGAAAGTCCAGGTGCCTCCTGAAAAAGCACCTTTGGGTGACTGCAGGATACTGAAAATGGCCATAAATGCAAGCTGGTTGCCAAGTACTCCAAATGGGAATCCTCTGACTGCAGAGTGTGTGTGCCTGGCCATCAGAACTTCAAAAACAGGTAATAAGTAGCTTTGGGGAGGACTATTGGAGCTTCAAATGACTGCTAAGTGAATGGTCATTAAACAAGGACTGCCTGTATATTGTAATTGTAAGTCCAGTCTTGTTAACTGTGTTGGCTTGTAGTTTTGAGTGCTGCACAAACCCAACCAACCGTGGCTTATTCAACAAATCAAGAACAAAACCTAATTTAAAACTCTCTGTTTTCTTCTTCTTTTTCCCCGAAGGATGAACTAGCTCGTGTTCTCGTCACCCTTTTTGACTCAAGGCATTTGCTTTACCAACTGCTCTGGAACATGTTTTCTAAAGAAGTGGAGCTGGCTGATTCCATGCAGACGCTCTTCAGGGGAAACAGTCTGGCTAGCAAAATAATGACTTTCTGCTTTAAGGTACATTTGACCTTCGAATCTGGTTTGCGGTGCGGAGAGATTTGGGGCCAAAAGGTTTAAGACACACCAAACCAGATGGACTTAGAAAAATTTGGCCTTCCCTCTTAAGATGCAGGTTTGAAGTTGTAGCTGTTGTCTGAATAAAATCACAGTAAAATGATTCTGTATGCTGATTTTACACCAATCCACAGAATTCCCAGGATAGCAGTTATTAAGGATGCATGCAGATCTTTTAAAAATCTAGTTTAGGGTGACATGCTGACTTTTTAAATGTCTTAAGTGACAGCTGTCAATATTTTTTGCTGCAGCACTTTCAGATTTTGGATTGCCTGTGGACCTCGTGTTTCGGGATATCCCCTTCCTTTTTGTTCTCAGCTCTGCTTGCTGGATCTCCCAGTCAGCCTCTTTTCTTTGTGTGCCAATAGGAAAACTGTACATTATTGAAAACTTGCATAGGGAAAAGATCCCTGACCCCGAAAAGAGGTGTTGGTTCAGGCAGGTGGCCGACCATGCTGACTCCGAGCAGGTGTTATGTACAAAAGTATGAAAAGAAACAAAATGATCAGGCAGTAAGAAGTTAACGGTGGGAACAAACGTACACTCCCCTCCCCCCTGGCTGAAACTAATTTGAATGGGGTAAATTCTGTCATGCAGGTGTATGGTGCAACCTATCTACAGAAGCTTTTGGAGCCTTTATTAAGAACTGTAATTACATCCCCAGAATGGCAGCCTGTGAGCTTCGAAGTGGACCCTACAAGGTTTGATTTTGGAGTTGTGATGGGGCGAAGTTTCTACTCTTTTTCTTATTTTTCCTCCTCTTTTTTTTTTTCTCCCTGGTTTTGAAGTTTGCATAATAAGGGTCTTATCCCTGGATCTTTGTCGAAAAAAGGCAAGGCAGGAGCTTTCTTTCAAGGCTCTTTTTTTTTTTCTCAACATTTTTTTAAATACCAGCAAAAGAGCCAGGACTTGAGGGTTTTTTAAAAAGACCAGTAGGATTGTTGTGGGGAAAAATAAGAGATAAGTCTGTCTATCAACCATAACAACTTTACGATTTGTGGACTTCAACTCCCAGAATACCTAAGCCAGCATGGCTGGCTGGGTATTCTGAGAGTTGAACTCCATACATCTTAAAAGTCATCAAGATTGAGAAACGCTGGTCTGGATCAATGTTTTTTGGCCTTGGCAACTTTGAGACGTGTGGACGCCTGCTCTTGGAATTCTGGGAGTTGAAGTCCACACATTTTAAAGGTGGCAAGTTTGAGAAAGGCTGATCTAGATTACATTCTCTAATCAACATCTGGAGCCTCCCTCTCCTATTTATAATGGGATGGGTAGAAACAGAGAAAAATAGCCTTTTTCTTGGAGCAGTGGGGAATGCACTCATTCCTTTACCGTCATTGTTGAATTTTTTGTTACCAACTTTAGATATGTATACTTTGGAGTGTAGCAGGTGATGAGATACTGAAATGAAATTACTCTTGCTAAGAACTCAATTCTTTTGTTTTTTCTTATATGCACATTCTGTTTTTCATCTGGTTCTCAGAGCAGTTTTATAGCTGAGAATGAGATGGGCGGTACCCACATTTGATAAGGCAGATAAATAATAAAAATGTAAGCATATCATTACATAGATACAATATAATTAGGAGTCAGTTTTAATATTTGCAATGTTTTTTTCTCCTGGACATAGGCAGATGGTAATAAAGTTCAGAAGCCAACCTTTTCCATTCACCATGGGAAAATAGTTGCAGGCAGGCAGTGATGATTATGAAGAGCTAATGGTGAAGACTCAATCAACTGATTATCGAAGATACAGTTGGAATCTTGAATGTAGACTGGTGATGGTGAACTTTTGACACCTGTGGCCTCTGGACCCCCTGGAAATCCTGCAAGAGGGCCTTGTCCTTGTGGGTCCTCTGAAACCTCCAAAAGTCATGTGAGCATTTTTACATGATTTTCGGAGGCTCCAGGGACCTTCTGAGAGCAGAGCTGACTTGCATGACTTTCAGAGGGTCTGAAGTGGCCTTGTTTGTCCGGGGTGTGTATATCTGTGTCTGTGTGACATACCAGCAGAGTCAAGGCAGGCATTTTCTGGATTTTTGACATGTCAAGCTCAAAATGTTCGCCATCACTGATAGAGTTTCTACCTCGTGTTGGAATGGCAACTCCCAGACAATTCAGCAGCATGGCAATTCTGTTGTTAATTTCTACTCTAATTCACTTGGGAATTTCCAAGTTGGGGAAGTCTGCCTTCCTTCTTTGTTGGTAGCCCTAAACAGGAGAGAACCATAGCTGCAATGTGGCTCTTGCGGAAACCACACACCTGACCCATTTTTTTAAACGGAAGCGAGGGAGCTTGGGAGAGCTATCACAGGCTTGTCTTACAGGTTGGAATCCAGTGAAAGCCTCGATAGTAACCAGCGGAGCCTTCTTCAGATGACCGAGAAGTTCTTCCATGCCATCATCAACTCTTCCACTGAGTTCCCACCCCAGCTGAGGAGTGTCTGCCACTGTCTCTATCAGGTATGAAACAGTCCACCACCGTTGTTACATTGGAAAGTGGGGAAAGACTAAAAGCACTGTGCTGTTACTTTTAGAATAAACAGGAGACAGTGAAACTTAGGAAGCCTATCCAGGACTGCAGGATCCGATCCAGGTCAGTCACCGGGATCAGATATTTTGTCTTCCGAGCTTTCGGACTCATGCTGGAGCCCATCCTCAGGGAACGTGTCTGTGCGCTCTGGGTTGTTTTCTATGTGGTGAATTTCCCTGTGGATGGGCTCCAGCATGAGTCCGAAAGATTGGAAGATAAAACCTCTAAGCCCAGTGACTGAACCAGATTGGATCCTGCAACATTATCCTGGGACACTTCTATTCGCCTATCCATGACTCCCTGGAGAACAAGCAGCTGGCTCAAGGAAATGCTTATTCATTGCTCATCATTCTTTTGCTTTTTTTTTTTTTTTTTAATTTAGGCATAAGTCACCTGTGGCTGTGGCCACTTATTTCTGAACTTCCCAGATATTATTAAATGTAAAATTCCCTCAATATATTCTCCAAAGCATTAATCGAAATTGTTGAGCACTGTGGAATGCCACCGATCATCTGCCTCTTGTTTTGATCTACACTATAATGTTAGTAATGTAGGCTGTGTTCCGTCTTCTCAGATACTGTCATGTTTAAGACCTGATGAGTCAAATTTATGGCTTTCTGGGGAGAGACGTTCGAGCCAAATCCGATGATGGAGAACATTTAGCCTTCCCTGTAGTTCTCACTGTTCCCAAACCTCAAGGAGCAAAGATTCCCCTTCATAATGCTCTGGTTTTGGATGTATTCAAAAAATGGGTGGACCTTTGCCCAATTCCTAAATGTTTTTATAAGAGCAGACTTTCCTGCTCTCCCCTTTGGAAGGCAGAGGGGTGAGACTTCCTAAGATTTTCCGGGATGCTTAGAAAACAAGAAGAACTTGTGCAGATTTTGGGGTGTGCCATATATCAACAGTGGTTTCCTTTCTCCAGGTCAGTGTTTCTTCCAGGCATTGCACAATCTCCCATATATTTAAAAAAAAAAAAAAGAATTTTCACTATTTTTCTGAATATTTGAGTTCCAAAACTGTGGGGAAGTCATTCATTCCTTGAAGCCAAGTCTAGGAAGAATCACCTGGAACCCAGCCTTTTGCATTGAGAGGGATATGGCTGACACATAAATAGCAGGATGTAAACTCCTGGGGACTAGCAATCTTTTATATACTGTACCTGGAGGCTGTTTGGGATGAGAGATTCAGTAGACATTTGAAGTCAAACTAAAGGTAAAGGTTTCCTTTGTCCAGTCATGTCTGACTCTAGGAGATGATATTTATCTCGGCTTCTTAGCAGAGGGAGCCAGCATTGTCCGAAGACATTTCTGTGGTCATGTGACCCACATTGCTGTATGCCAAAAGTGCACAGAATGCTGTTACCTTCCCATCAAAGTGGTACCTGTTTATCTACTCATTTGCATGCTTTTGAACGGCTAGGTTGTCAGGAGCTGGGGTGAGTCACAGAAGCTCACTCAGTCACATGGCGCTCGGGTCTCAAACCCGAGCTGTCACTTTCCAGCTGACAAGCTCAGCATCTTTAACCACTGAGCCATCATGCCCCTTTGAGGTCAAACTATTTGGTTCCTTTTTTGTTTGTGTGCTTTAAGGCAAGACTATTAGGTTAATTCAAACTGGAGATGGAATGCAGCTAATTTATATCTGCCATTTTTTAAAAGAAAAACATGCAGTTGAAAAATGGCAAACCAGTGTCAAGCTTGACAGTATAATCTGGTATCACAGGAATGAGATTTTGTTTGGGGGGGCACATGCAATTTTTTGGTCAACAAGTTGCCTACCTTGACCCAAAATTTGTGTTAAAAAAAGTGGGGGGGGGACAATTTAAAATTCAATGATGGTTTTGTCTTACAGCCTTTTTGGCATTTCAAAATAGCAGTGGTAATTTTTTCTCTAGTTTTTGTTATGCTTGGTTGGTTTTTTTATTTTTGTTTTCCAGCAAGAAAATTCCTTGTTCGGTTGTCAACTAGCTGCTTTATTAGAATCACCAAAGTGGGATGGATCCTGGGTTGTACTTTGGATGTGTCAAATGTCACCTTTGTGCTGAGGTGAACTTTAAAGTTTAAAGCATGTAAAATGTTCAAAGTACCGAAGGGAAATTTCCAGTATTCTGGATATGGAACAAACATTCTTCCTTTCATAATTTTGTTTCATGCTTTGGGAAAAAGTGGTCCATTTTGGACCAAAAAATGGCACATTGTTCTATGTAGTTCTGTTTACAGCTTGGAAAAAGAAGGCTCCCTTATTGTTCTACATGTTTTGTGCACAACGAAAGCTCCTATACAGGATGCGGGAGCTTCTGTGTTTGTTCCTCCCCAAAGTTTTATATGTGTGAAGCAGAAATAGTTTGCTCAGGGGGATCATAGGATAATGGGATTATCCCATCTAAGTAGGACATGGCATAATTGAACACTTCTCTTCATAAACGCTTCCCTCTCAGAAAATGGAAGGTCTAATAATAGGCTTAAGTAGAGTGTTTAAAAAAAAACTGTTAAATTTCAACAAAAGATAAAATACAAAGAAACTGAAAAATAGGAATTAGAAAAGTTCAGAAAAAAAAGCAAAATTAGTGCAGAAAAAAGGCAATAGAAAAGGAATAACTTCCAATTTTCTTTGGTACAGATTAAGCTGTATGGAAAATCAACCATAAAACACAGTGTTTCCATTTGATCCAGTTTTGATCAAATCCCCAAAATTACACTTTCTTTCCATGTCATGCAAAAAGTTCCAAAAATGATTTCCAAGGTACACAAGGTCTTTTCTTCAATCAGAGGAAACAATTTTGTCCATTCCATTCATTTCACCATCCATTCTTCCATTTGTAGGAATTTGTAGGCCTCTGTACCTCTGCGTGCAAAAGTCTCACTGCTGTTGTCATACATAAAAACAAAAATTCCATGGTTTCTTGGACTACAGCTTTTCCGTATAGCTGGGCATGATGTTTTTGGTTCAGAAGCAGAGACTTAAAACAGGTAGTCTCTGCCTTTCATTCAGAGGGCACACAGCCATGGATGGTATTATAGGATTCTTCTGAACACAATAACCCAGCACTGAAAGGAAGAGAACAAGACATGATATACAGTACTTGGATGATAAATTATGTCATCTCTCTTTTTCCCTGCCTCTACCCCATCCATCCTGGATATAGAGGTAGTCCTCCGCTTTTCAACCACAATGGGACCCCAGATTTCTGTGACTAAAAGAGATAGTTGTTAAGTGAATTTTGCCCCATTTTATGACCTTTCTTGCCACAGTTGTTAAGTGAGTCACTGCAGTTCTTAAGCTAGTAACATGGCTGTTAAGTGAATCTGGCTCCCCAATTGATTTTGATTGTCAGAAAGTTGCACAAGGTGATCAAATGGCCCTGGGATACTGCAACCTTCATAAATAGGAATCTGAATTTTGATCACATGACCATGGGGATGCTGCAACAGTCATGTGAAAAAGGCATAAGTCACTTTGTTCAGTGCCGTTACAACAGTCACTAAATGAAAGGTTGTAAATCCAGGACTATCTGGATTTCTGCTTCAGTTTGGCAAGATATCTATCTGTAGGTCTGGAAAAACAAAGGAGCCCGAGCTTGTTACCCCCACCACAGTCTCCAAATACTGAAACACAACTTTGTGCAGGAGAAGGACTGGCAGAGCCAGGGGAAAGGCTGGAAAGAGAGATCAGAATCCCTACATGGTTGTAGCCAGAAGTTTGAAGCTGATATTTTTCCTTATTTAGTCAGCACAAGCCTTTTGACTCTAGCAAGCGCTCAAAGCAATTAACAGCATTTAAAAACAGAAGCAGAATGTTAAATTTAAAAGTGCCCATTAAAATTAGTAATGTAAATTCTAAAGTCAACCAGGAGGTGCATTCTATAGGCAGGGAAAACATAGGTGTAGTTCCTCTTGGCAGACCCTTTGATAGGGAGGACTTCTTCTGTATGTCTTGAAAACCAGATTCTTTCCTACAAGGAACGTGTTCCTCAGCCTTAAGCCAACTGAGGGCTTTGAAGATCAGTACCGATGATTTAAGTTGAGCTTCCTAAGCAGCATTACATTTTTTGTTATTTTGTACAACTGCAACTTCCAGTTCGTTTTCAAAAATATTTCCATAGAAGTCCCTATTTCAGTATCTACAAAATTCAATGAGACCTGAAGTGTAAGGGTGTGGGAATAGAGCTACAAATAATAAAAATACATCTTGGTCGTTGAATTTTTTTTTTGGTGTGTGTAATGAGTCTATCTCCCTCCCAATCCTTGTCTGAATGCTGGAATAAAGATGATAATATCTGAAGATATGATAGGATCTGCATTCATTTTTTTTTTTTTTTTGGCTTTGTACCGTACAATCTGTATGTATGAAATGGTATGAAAAATACACCGAAGCAGCCTTATTTATTAAGGTTAAAATAATGTCTCTCAAGGTTTGGAAAATACTTTGGGCTCACAGTCAGTTTTGTAACTGGCTGGAAAATGACTTTGGTAATCATCTTTTTTATTGTTGTTTATTACTCAGCTGAGCTTATTCTGCTGCCTCAACGGATGTTTCAGTAAAAGACACTGCAGAACCATAACTCTTGGGCATCACACCCTTTGAGATAGCTTGCCAAAGCCTGTCGTGCACCATTGTAAATGGATAGAAGAGAAGTAGCACCTTCACAAGCCTTTGCAATTTGGGGACATTAATCTTCACAGATAGTCCTCGACTTAAGGCCACAATTGAACCCCAGATTTATGTTGCTAAGCAAAACATTTGTTAAATGAGCTTTGCCCCATTTTACAACCTTTCTTCCCAACATTTGTTAAATGAAACACTGCAGTTGTTAAGTTAAGAACGTGGTTGTTCGGTGAATCCGGCTTCCCTGTTGACTTGGCTTGTCAGATGGTCACAGAAGGGGATCCCATGACCCCGGGACACTGCAACCGTCATAAATATGAGTCAGTTGCCAAGCGTCAGGATTTTGATCACATAATCATGAGAATGCTGCTGTGGTCGTAAATGTGAAAAATGGCCATAAGTCACTTTTTAGTGCCATTGTAACTTTGAAGGGTCACTAAATGAACTTGTAAATTGAGGACTACCTCTATTAAGATTTGTCTTTGGAGACCACTTCAGCATGAGTTTGTAAAATGAAATCCATAAATGTATGTGGTACTGCTGTTTGGGAAAAGTAGATAAACCCACAAGAGACAGAATTAAATGTCACCGATCACTGTTAAGCTGGAAATGCTTTTGGGAAGAATATATTTGATTTTTTGCTGGAACGTGTTCAGAACAATGCAGATCTTGTAAGTGCCTCATTAGCAAATGCTCTTTTTGAACTACTGTACTTAACCTAGCCAGAAATAGTAGAAATGATTGGAACAACATTTGCTTGCTTACTACTTGTGACTAGATGGTGGTCGCCAACATGGAATAGAAGTTTCATCCAGCGCTAGTGTGCGCACTTCACTTTTTTTTTTTTGTTTCATTCTGTTACATTTGATTGTGTGATTTCATGTTCAGAACAACATTTTTCTTTTTGCTGTATGTAGTTGGTGCTGTGACTTGTTTGTGCTCATCTCTGTTCTGTAGGCAACTTGCCACTCTCTCCTGAATAAAGCTACCGTAAAAGAAAAAAAGGAAAACAAAAAAGCAGTAAGTTTTGGAGAAGTTTTATTAAGCCATTTCTTTCAAAGCACACAAACATCCTCTTCCCCACTTTCTGCTTTTGCTCTTTGTTCCCAAAACTCTTTCCTTCCAACCTTCTTTGACACTCATTGTCAAATCGTTCTACTAATTCTGGCACTAAAGATGCTTTTAAATTGAATTAACACTCAGTTGAAGTGATGGCTGGTTTAAAAAAAAACAAAACCTGAATGTGCCTGTTTCTTTCTTTTTTTCCCCTTCGGTAGGAAATCTCTGCCGCTCCACAACAGCTTTTCCTCTTTGCCAACAGTTGCATGCTAAAGAAACTAAGGGAAAACTCAGAAATGAAAGACAGGAGTGTGGTTGCTTTTGTATTAGTTGGACTGTCTAGGACAGGGGTCCCCAAACTTGGCAACTTTAAGACTTGTGGACTTCAACTCCCAGAATTCCTCAGCCAGCATAGCTGACAATACTCTTATGCAGGGGTCTCCAACCTGAGGAATTCTGGGAGTTGAAGTCCACAAGTCTTAAAGTTGCCAAGTTTGGAGACCTCTGGTCGGGGCGGGGGGGGAGAGGAAAGCCCCTCCCTCCTCCACCTATTCTAAAGAGATCTCCGTATCCTTTCATTTTCCCTTGATGGCATTGAAGAAGCCTCTCAGGAAACCACAGGGGTTTTATAAAACTTATCAAAATGTTAGCAGCAGCATGTGGGGAGGGGAATGTTGATTTGGAAGTGTGTGTCAGATAAAGAGGACCTCGTTGTTGTGATGAGAGCTGTGTGGCTGCACAGTTAGTGCATGTTTCGAAGTTCATCTTTTCTAATGGAGCCAGTTTTCAAAGCTGGAAAGGAGTGAGGGAGAACACCGCAGTAATAAAAGCATGACTGTCAAATATGGTCAGTCCTCGACTTAAGAACACACAGGGACCAGAATTTTCATTGCTAAGCAAAGTAATTGTTAAGGGAGCCGTGCCTGATTTTATGATGTTTTTTTGCCACGGTTGTTAAGCGAATCGCTGCTGTTGTTAAATAAATCATGAGGTCATTGAGTGAATCTGGCTTCCTCTGTTGACTTTGCTTATTGGAAGCTCGGTGGGAGAGTCTCAGATGGCAATGACGTGACCCTGGGATGTCACAACCATTATAAATGTTGGTTGCCAAGAGCCAAATTTTGTTCACTTGCCCATGGAGATGCTACAACTGTTGTAGTAAGTGTGAGGACCAGTTGCATGTCATTTTGTTTAGTGCTGTCATAACTTTGAACAGTTGCTAAACGAACGGTTGTAAGTCGAAGGCCACCTATACTCGTTCTTTTTCTGCATCAGTTTGGAGGTAGAGTAGGGAATATGGTTGCTAAATGGAGTGAATTTACTGTCTAACTTTCCCTCCTTGGTCAAGCAAAGAGAAGTGGCCTGGGGTCTTTGCAAAGAGGCTGGTTTGCTTTGCCTGGATTTTTAAAGAGAGGTTGCTAAGCAAAATGCTGAAATTGTTTTCTCCATTTTAAAAATGTATTTTGTATTCCTTCTGCTGCCTAATAAGATTAAACGTTTGACTACATATGCAGTGAATATATGCGGATGGTCTGATAGTTTAAGAGTGCCTTGTTTTTGCAGTTTTGACCAAAGGAGATTTGTTGATTATGTGCCATTCTCTTTGGGGAATGAAAGGGTCTCCCTTCTTCTCTGAGGGGTAGGTCCATGGCAACTGAGTGGACCAGATCATCCATAAGAGCAGGGGTCCCCAACCTTCGCAACTTTAAGACTTGTGGATTTCAATTCCAGAAGGAATTGTGGGAGTTGAAGTTCACAGTTCTTAAAGTTGCCAAGATTGGAGACCCCTTCATAAGAGTATTGTCAGCTTCCTCCATTTCTCTCTCTCTCTCTCTTAAAAGTCTGGTATCTGATGAGATTTGAATGATGATATGTCACAAAGATGCTTTTTCAAAAGCCAACTGGATTTTCTTTGTTTTTCCTTGAAGACGTTTCACTTCTCATCCGAGAAACTTGTTCAGTTCAGTTCAGAGCTTCTTCAGTTCAGTTCTGAACTGAAGAAGCTTCTTGGATGAGATATGAGACATCTTCGAGGAAAATCAAAGTCCAGTTGCCTTTTGAAAAAGCACCTTTGGAACAACCATGACTTGGATGACTGAGAATCTCCATAGATGAGTGAAGATATGGAAGATGCAACAGGAGTTTGGCTTTTGAGGAGTGTAGAAAGGGGCGCAACCACATGACCATCTGGATTCTTTGCATGGAGGAGGTTCCTCAGTGCCACTTCTGGTAGGTCCTGATTAGTATCATGGATTCTGAGTTTGTTGATTAATTTTCTTCCTGTGGTTCTTCCTGTGCCCCAGTTCAGTCAGTCAAGGTAGGAAAAGTGTGTTGCCAATTTAGCCCATGTTGTTTGCTTGCCCAAATGTTCTCTGGGTTGTATAAGGTCCACAATTTGCCTTTTGACTTCTAGGTCAATTTTTACGGTGTGGGTCATCTTCTCTAACCCTTTATGAATTGTCAGGTGGTGGCCTAGAGATTCCCCCTTGCTGAAACATGCCAGTCCATATTTTTAGGCCTTATTCTTTTCTGTCAAAACAAAGCTCTGTTCCCTAGCATCACACCCACCATTTGAGATTCCCAAGACTTTGGATAAGTGTTTTGAATTCTGTTTGAGTTATTGAGTTCATTTGTTCTCTGAGCAGTTCTACACTTTTATTAGATTTGAAGAATTCTCAGTCCAGCCGGACTTTGGATAGGAAATTACACAGAAAGTGTGCCACCTCAACTTTGGGCATGGAAAGAAATGCAGTGATAGATAGTAATGTGTCTACAGGACCTTCTTTGTATGAGCTGAAATTGCAACTAATGCGGACTCTACATTCTTTGCATAAATTGCAACTAACATGGGCTATCCAATCTGCATAAAGTCTGTTTTTGCATAAGCATTCTTCATCTTGTTAGGATGTGTAGCAGATCCGAAGACCTTTAATGGGAATTGGGGTGGGGTAGGCTTTGATCCTGATTACTTACCTACGGGGACTCTTAGAAACTAAGATCAGAAACCAGAATCCTATCCTAAGTGAGTAGCAAGTTCTTAAGCTTGAAGGACATTGATGCCTTTAAAAATCACCTTTGATTGGAATGGCTCCTTTGAAACCCAAAGTGTTCAGGGCAGAAGAAAATCGTTTGAATATATTTGTTCTGATCCTTTCCCCTTCCCTCCTCATCCTTCAGAGCCACTCAGAGTCTCGCTGTATTAGCGGCATAGAAGTTTAATAAATTAATGAGGGGTCCTTGGTGTTCTCTGAGCTTGGTTGTTTTCTTGCAGATGTTTCATTACCAAACTAAGTAACATCATAAATGGCTGATGATGTTACCTAGTTGGTAATGAAACGTCTGCAAAAAAACAACAACCAAGTTCTGAGAGCACCAAAGACCCTTCTTTTTAATCGTGAGTTACAAATATTGGGAGAGAGAGAGAGAGAGACAGAGACAGAGACAGAGACAGAGACACAGACAGACAGACAGACAGACAGCTTTTCTTGCCTGTATAGTAAATGCAGTTATTCTCCTACATGAGTGAGTACCATTTTGTGTGGCTATTTTTTCCCCACAGAGGTTATGTATGATTTTTCAAATGAATTGATGATTTCCATTCATGTTTTATGGAAAGTTGTTGCTATGAGAATCATTCTCTGGTGCATTAATTGTTATGAACTGAATGAGTGAATCAATTGGGTATATTATTGATTTTTTAAATCAGAATTGTTTAAATGTTGGGCTCAATATAGAGTAAACTCTTTTGTTCCTAATTAGTATATTTTGAAATATCTTTTTAGTTTTATTTTAGGAGGTACAAATTGCTCACACGCTGGCTTCACAGTAAGATGTTTGTCTGTATGAAAGTGAATGTAACCCCTGTTGTTAAATCATGCCTTCTCTATACTATTTTCAATAACTCTTTCTTCATTTCCTCCTTATAACAATTTGGCTCTTGCCTCTGGAACCTGCTTAACATAGAAACCATTTGGTTACTTGTCTAGTGTCATTCTGAAACAATGACATGTAAGGAAGAGATGGCCCAAGTGTTCTTCTCCTATTGAACTAGCTTTTTATCCTACATTTAAATGATGGCTTTCTTAATTTCCACCCTGTGCTGTTTAGGTGGTCAGCCAGCGGTTTCCTCAGAACAGCATTGGAGCGGTTGGGAGTGCCATGTTCTTGAGATTCATTAATCCGGCTATTGTGTCCCCATATGAAGCTGGTATATTGGATAAGAAGCCTCCACCGAGAATCGAAAGGGGTCTGAAGTTAATGTCAAAGGTGAGAAACAGTGTCTCTTTTATGCTGGATGGGAGGGAATAGCAGGGAAGTGATGGTGGTGGAATTGGGCATCTTGTTTTTATGGAAGGGCTAAAAGAGCTCAAGAGATGGCAATCTGCTTGCAGCTCTGAGGATTTGGATATGATTCTTGAAGCCCTTCCAAACGTTGACACAGAGTGTAATTGTAATAGGTAGCAGAGGTGAAAAATTATTTAAATATAGGATTGATTATGTTATATATTGTTATATAAACAATAGTTAATTCAACAGAAATTAAATTCAAATATAGTTTGCCACAAGCCTGAGGTTTGGATTACAGGTAGTCTTCAGGTTATGACTGTCCACTAAGTATCTATTCAAAATTATGATGCCACTGAACGATGGGGACTTACAACTGGCCCTTGAAGTTTTGGCCATTGCAACATCCTTTGGTCACATTATCATCATTTACAACCTTCCCTGTTGGCTTCTCATCAGCAAAGTCAGTGGGGAAGCTGGCAGGAAACTGTTAATTGTTCCTTGTGGTCCCTCTTTTTCTCCCAAGGAGCCATGGGGATCTCATACTCCATAGTACCTGCCCATGCCACCTAGTTGTACACCCTCCGTAGCATCAGCCTGCAGTACCTGCCTACCTACTGTAGCAGCACTCTCTAAGCGGTGTACAGAGTCAGCATATTGCTCCCAACAATCTGGGTCCTCATTTTACCAACCATGGAAGGTTATAAAGCTGAGTCAACCTTGAGCCAGCCAGGAACAAACTCCTGGCATTGGGCAGAGTCAGCCTGCAATACTGCATGATAACCACTGTGCCACCACGGCTCCTGCTTGAACTTTATAGGACTTGCCCACAGCACCCACCCACCTGTAGTTCTTGTCTGTTAGCTTGCTTGCCCTTGGTGCAGTTTCAGTACCTCTTCCCATCTTGCAGTCACATGAGGTCCTTGCCTAACAATGACAAAAGGGACTGCAGAGATTGCCATCGCAAAACGTTCCATTCCAATGATATTATATTTTACAACCACCTCACTTAGTGATGGAAACCCTTGTCCCAGTTGCTGTCATAACCTGAGGATTGCCTTTAGAACCCTGGCATGCGCTGAAGTATACTTCTTTGCTCAAATAAAACACTCCAATTTTAAGACCCGCCTGCTTAATCAAACCTTCACCAATCTAGTACAGACTCCATTGTGTAGAACTTTCCCTTAAGCAGGTGCTTAACTTCCCTGCTGACAGGTGATGCTGGGAATCCAATACGTGAGATAAGCATCAGATTGGGGAAGGCTGCTTTTAACTACCAGTGAATTTATTCCTAGCCTGAAGATATTTTAGAGGGAATGGGCATTTGATGGAATTTCACTGTATGCCAACACATTACATTACATGCCAACGCATTACATTTACATTCATACTACCAAATATCTTAGATTAGAACAAATCTTCTACAATACTTGGCATGTAATTCTAGAAAGGAAACTTCTTCAAATGTGGTTTGCATGACTCACTCACTCGGTTGGTCTCTTTTGCTCAGGTACTTCAGAGCATCGCTAACCATGTCTTGTTTACAAAGGAGGAGCACATGCGGCCTTTTAACGACTTTGTGAAAAGCAACTTTGATGCTGCAAGAAGGTAAGCCAGTAAGAGTGTTTTGATTTTTTTGCAGCAAGTTTTGCCTCTCCAGTTTTTCAAGCCAGAGTTAGAGAGCATAGGCTAGAGGCAGGTAATGAGTCCCAGCATACACCACTTGAATACAAACTGAGGTTGACAAAATCACCACCAGTCCAGAGCAAAGGGCAGCTTTACTTGGGACAGCTTCCATCTTAGGAGGATACCTTTAATACCATCAAATAATACCTGCCTCTCCCAGGGTCTTTGGGAAGGACTCGATAGGCAAATAAAAATGCCAAATCCACTCTAAACATCTAGCTGACAGTGCAACCAACCATTATAATAATAAATAGACCCAAAACATATGTGGACGATCTAGTCTACAGAATTCTTTAGCTGTGATAGGTTTAAAGGAAGTTTTCAAACATTGGTGAAGAGGGAAAATTCTTCTCAGTGCTATTGGTCAATGGGATATCCAGGTGGCCCTAAAATTAGATGCAGGGAAAGAACTACTGTGTTGGAGAGCTTTACCTTCAGAGCTTTCTTATGTGCTTCCTGGAGATATCTGTAGTTTTTTTTTTTTTTTTAGGAAGCACGATGATGATTAATAGATGAATATTTTGGTCTAACACAGGTGCTTTTACATTATTCAAAAATGGTATAGGGTCTCTGCTTGAGCAGGGGGGTGGACTAGAAGTTCTTCCAGGTCCCTTCCAACTCTGTTGTTCTGTTAAAAAGAAGTTAGATTTGTTAGTTCACATTATTAACCTCTGTTGGAAAGTTCTTGATGCTGAAGCCAATTTGAGTCCTAGTCATCCATATCCGCATTTTTTTGTAGATGCTTTGATAAGAAAGGGCACAATATCTTCTCTTTCCATATAGGTTTTTCCTTGACATTGCCTCAGATTGTCCAGCTAGTGATACAGTCAATCACAGCCTCTCTTTCATCAGTGATGGCAATGTACTTGCACTACATCGTTTGCTGTGGAACAATCAAGAGAAGATCGGGCAGTACCTTTCCAGCAACAGGTAATAGTGCCTGACTAGGGGTAAAAAGGCTGAGAAATAGCAGCAGTACTTAGACCTATATACTGCTTCAAAAGCGCCTTACAGCCCTCTCTAAGCAGTTTACAGAATCAGCAGCTTGCCCCCAACAGTTTGGGCCCTCATTTCATTGACCTCGGAAGGATGGAAGGCCGAGTTAACCTTGAGCCTGGTGAGATTCGAATTGCCGAACTGCAAGCAGCCAGAAGTCAGCACAATTAGCCTGCAGTAGTGTATTCTAGCCATTGCGCCACCATGGCTCATGGGCACAAGAAAGGACATAATGCGTGTAAAAATAAAAGTTCATTAAATCAACAGAGAATTTACAGTTGTGATAACATTAAAATTAATTGTTTCATTGATGAATTGAATATATACAACTAATGTATATATGGTGAGAGAAGAGATATAAGGCTTGATATGAAAAAGAATTGTAAATATAAGTAACGCTTGACACAGTACTGTTAAAATGTAAATGAATATGTATTTTTGAAATTAATAAAATAATAATAATAAAAAAGAATATATACAACTAAAATTCCTTATATCATCTTGAGAAATAATTATATATATATATACTTACAAAGTGCTAAACTGGAAGCCTCCCAGGGCCATTTCCTTACAAGATGGGAGGCAAACAAATTCAATTAATTACCCAATAGTATTGAGCATAGAGCAGACCCAAAGTGTAGATAAGATGGAGTAGATTGTACCTTGTGGGAGGTTTGAGAATCTTTAATTGAGAGGGAAAACATTTGCTTATTTGCTATAAAAATGTAACATGGAATAGGACTTAGTTGTTCCTACACATCAGTAAATCTTGGAATGGAGAAGGAAGAGTTGCCATTTAATACAAAAGATGTGGCCTTTAGGTGTAGTGAACAAGCAGGTTTTTAATGTTTTTTTAAACTATATAAATAGTATTTTTCATGCTGTGTTTTTTAGTCTTAGCAACTTTTAAGATATGTGGACTTTAGCTCCCAGAACTCCATGCTGGCTGGGGAATTCTAGGAGTTGAAATCCACACAACTTAAAAATTCTAAGACTGAGAAACCATGACTTACCGTATAGGTAGTCCTAGACATACGACTGTGTCAACCCCCATCCCACCAAAAAAAAAAAAAATGTTACAAGTCAAGGATTACCTATATAGCATGAAGTTGTTTATAGCAACTTGCAGTTTGAAAAACATTATATCCCTCAAGCTTCTTATATCCCTAAATTATGATCATCCTCTAGGGACCATAAGGCTGTTGGAAGGCGACCATTTGACAAGATGGCAACTTTGCTTGCATACCTGGGTCCTCCTGAGCACAAGCCGGTGGCAGACACACAGTGGTCCAGTATAAACCTCACTAGTTCCAAGTTTGAAGAATTTATGACAAGGTAAATGAATCCAAATGTTTGCTGGCCTGTTGTGAACTCTTGAGGGATGGGCAAAGTATTTCCTCCCAGATGTTAAATTTGAACTCTCAACAGCCAAGGCTCCCATAACGCAAATGGATATAAATGGATGCAATTAATATCTTTTATAGATTCAACATATTAACCTACTCTTCTCTCCTTGAACGCTATATTAAACTGAAAATCTATTGTGATTTTATTTAGATTCTTAACCATTAAATGGGAAGCTAGTGTGCTGCAAAGCCAGCAAGCATCTTTAATTCCAAGGATCCTTTGGGAATCAGGCCCTAGCAGAATTCTTAGAAAGTAAAAAAGGGTCATTGGCTGCAACCAGGATTTTTTTTGGGGGGGGGAAGGAGAGGAAGGATGCATCTTGGAAAACTTGAGTGGCAAGAAGCAGCATCAGCAGAAGCCTTCTGATCTATGAGGGCAGGACAAGAAGCAAAGGAGGGAAACTAATCAAGGAGAGAAGCAACCTAGAATTAAGGAGAAATTTCCTGACAGTGAGAACAATTAATCAGTGGAACAACTTGTCTCCAGAAGTTGTGGGTGCTCCAACATTGGGGGTTTTTAAGAAGAGGTTGGGCAGCCATTTTGTCTGAAGTGCTATAGGGTTTCCTGCCTGAATAAGGAGTTGGACCAGAAGGCCTCCAAGGTCCCTTCCAACTCTGCTATGCTATGCTTGCCGTGGGTACCATTTTGTGGGATCTTCAGTGACTTGTAATTCCAAATAGATCCACTAGCCACAAAATGTAGGGAATGTCTGATACGGTCACAACCAGGGTAAATTGCTGCTTTCCTGCCTATCTTTGTGTCCTTAGGCACCAGGTCCACGAGAAAGAAGAGTTCAAAGCCTTGAAAACCCTCAACATTTTTTACCAAGCTGGGACGACAAAAGCTGGCAACCCCGTCTTCTATTACATTGCTCGCCGGTAAGACAGTTTTCTCTTCCTCCTTAAACCAGACTACTGAGAATTGGTGAGATTTGCAGGCCCAGCTTTTGTTTCGTTTTGAACGTTTGATTTGCCATTTTGTGGTGTTTTCTTCGTACTCTGAAAGGGTTAGCCAGAGAAGGTGGACATAATGGTAATCCTCGACTCAACAGCCATTCATTTAGCAACCTGTTTGAATTTGCAGCGACACTGAAAAAAAGCGACTTATAAATGGTCTTTGTATTTGTGAGCATCCCCATGGGTCACATGATCAAAATTTGGGGTGCTTGACAACCATCCTGTGTTTAGAATGGCTGCAGAATCCCAGGGTCATGTGATCGCTATTTGCAACTTTTCTGGCCCCTTCCAACAAGCAAAGTCAAATGGGGGAAGCTGTTTTCACTTAACAATCACATGATTCTCTTAACAACTGGAAGGATTCTTTCTTTTTCTTTTTTCTTTTTTTGGCAAAAAAAATAATAATTGGGCACAACTCACTTAATAACCGCTTTGCTTAGCAATGAAAATTCTGGTCCAGATTGTGGTCATAAGTCGAGGACTCCCAATATGTTTGTACACAAAAGTGCCCCGTCAAGTGTTTGTAATATTGGCCGTGAGGGACAAGGTTTGCCATTATCTGGTGGTTGTTTTGCCCAAGCGCATATTTTGTTTGAGGGATTCTCCATGTCTACGGCGGGGCAGTAAATTTCTTTCAAAACAACAACATATGCCCCTTAGATCAGCTGCCCCCAATCTTTGGGGCATCAGACCGGTTCCATGGAGGAAGGTTTTTCTGCAGATCAGAGGGGGGGTGGTTTCGCGTGCTGCCTGCATCCCACAGATGGGGCTTCGTTTGTTTGTGCAGACTGGTTGCTGGCATGCTGTGGACTGATTAGATCAGGGGTTGCCAACCTTTTGGACCTCAGGGACCACCAAACTCATAATTTTAAATCCCGCGGACCAGAGATCCTGGGAAAATCCCCCAAAAAGTCTGCAGGAAAATTCCCCACCCCGTTTTCCTACCGCTTGATCATTCTTTATTTGGGATCTCAGGATACCATCTCCAGCTCCGTTCTCAGGGGAGAGAGAGAGAGAGACTTTTGGCTTCATGCAAGGAAAGCAGCAGAAGGCTTTCTTTCTCTCCCCCAAACTCTGCCAGAAATTAGTCTCTATGAGACTTGTCGAGCCAGCACAGCCTCTTGGAGCAGGAGGCCTTGCAGAGTCCCAAAGACTCATTTCTGGCGGAGCTTGGAGGAGAGAAAGACTTTTGCTGCTTTCCTTGCGTGCAGCCAAAAGCAGAAGGAAGAAGCAGCCCGGCGGCTAGGCCAGGCGACTGGGGCAAGTTATCCCCCTCCGCCCTTTCCCCTCTTCCCTCACTACCTTGTGTTGTTCGCAATGCAAGTGACACAAGCCTTGTGTTCCTGCAGGCCATGTGGGTGGCACAGCCTTGTGTTCCCATGTAGCCTGGATTAATTGCTTTGGGGGGTTGCTCTGGGGGTGACATTTCTCTGCGGACCACCAAAATTTTCTCTGAGGACCACCAGTGGTCCTTGGCCCACTGGTTGGCGACCACTGGGTTAGATTGTACAGGTAGACCTCGACTTAAAAAAGTTCATTTAGTGACCATTCAGAGTTACAACGGCACTCAAAAAAGTGACTTTCGACCTTTCTTCACAGTTTGCAGCATCCCCATGAACTTGTCATCAAAATTCAGCCGCTTGGCAACTGGTTCATACTTATGACCATTGCTGTGTCCCGAGGTCATGTGATCCCCTTCTGGCAAGCAAAGTCAAGGGGAAGCCAGATTCACTTAACAACCGGGTTACTAACTTATCAACTGCAGTGAGTCACTTAACCACTGAGGCAAGAAAGGCCGTAAAATGGGGCTAAATTCACTTAACAAATGTCTTACTTAGCAGCAGAAATTTTGGCCTCAATTGTGGTCGTAAGTTGAGGACTACTTGTACTTTTTGTGATGAAAGGTACACATAATATCTGGAGCAAGGGGGAAACCTAACTGCTTTGGTGGTGGTATAATTTAAAAAAAAATTATCATCAGTGTCAAAACCAGTTTTATTTTCAGGTAGCCCTCACTTAACGATCGGTTGCTTGTTTGAAGTTACAGCAGACCCTTCTTCTCCCCCCCCCCTTTCATTCAAAGAATGAAACTTTGATTTTGGGTTTTACTGAGTAGATTGATAGATCTATACAGAAATGACTGGTTCATATTATTATGAAAAAGCAAAAAGTTGTGATTTGATGTTAATTTCTGAATTGCTGAATGCTGAGGAGAAGAGAAGCAGCTCCTTGCTGATTCGTATCGTTTCTGTTTCTTGGCCAACTGAAACCCACCCCTGGCTGCCTCCCCATCCCGCTCCTCCCAGGAGTCCCCAAGCGACCCGTTTTGGATGCAGGTAAATGCAGGGCACAGGCGAAGGCTTGGTGAGGGTGAAAAACGGGCCTCCCAGAAGTTCGAGAAGGCCGGAAATGGGCCCAATTTCTGGCTTCCAGAGAGCCTTTGGAGCCATTTTCGCCTTCCTGGAGGCTCGAGGAAAGCCTCCGGAGCCCAGGGAAGGCAAAAAAAGGCCCCCTCTCCCCCGCTGTGGTGCAGGAGGCCGACTAGATGCACTTCCCCCATCCCTCTCTTCCCAGAGGTCATCTAAAAACGCAACCAGTGCTGTTTCCCTTTCATATCTTGGCCTGAAATCCAACTGAAAAGGGCCCACATGATACAGAATAGCAGAGTTAGAAGGGATCTAGGATATCTAGTCCACCCCTTGCTCAAGCAGGAGACCTCCCCATCCCATTCCGACAAATGGCTGTCCAATCTCTTCTTTAACGTCTCCGGTGATGTGGAATACTCCATCTTGTGAAGGCAAACCATTCCATGGATTAATAGTGTCAATAGTAACAATGTTACTATAGGGGAATGATGGTTATGTATAACCTTTCCTAGAATGGTTGGCTCTTTACAATAGCAGGCTAACCCTTGCCCAAAATAAGATGAATGAGGAATGGAACACCAAAGTGGTTTTTTTTGGAGTTGTGGTTTCATGGTGAGAACAAAGAAACTGGTTATTTTCCAAAAGCATCAGTAGCTATGGCATCATTTGTCTCCAAAGCAGATGGCAATGCAGCTGGTGAAATCTGTCTAGAAGATTAGGCCATCTTTCTTCTACTTCGTATCTTTGCAGGGATCCTTTAGTTTCACTTTCATCTAGGCAACCAGATTTCAACAATTTTTTAAAAGTTTTTCAAAAAAGATAATGTTCAATGGCTGAATTTACAAATCACAATACAGGTGGTCTTCGACTTACGACCACAATTGAGCCCAAAGTTTCCATCATTAAGTGAGACATTTCTTAAGTGAGTTTTGCCTCATTTTACAACATTTCTTGTCACAGCTATTAAGCTAGTAACCCGGTTGTTAAGTGAATGTGGCTTTCCCATGAACTTTGCTTGCCAGAAGGTCACGAAAGGTGAGCCTGGGACATAGCAACCATCATAACGAACTAGTTGCCAAACATCTAAATTTTGAAAATGTGACCATTGGGATCCTGCAAAGGTTGTTACTGTGAAAAATGGTCATAAGTTACTTTTTTCAGTTCTGTTGTAACTTTGAATGGTCACTAAATGAACTGTTGTAAGTTGAGGGACTTACCTGTAAACTAGGACAAAAATGGAGTCATTTGTGTTCAGTATGTTGTAGAAATGCAGCCATTGCCGTAGCGTGTTGTGTGAACTGAGCTGTAAGCATTAAGACATCATATGATTTACTTTTTAGCTTGTTGCAGAGATATAGCAAAAGGTTCAGTGTTGTGTGAACAAGCCAGCCCTGATCTAAACAACCTTTAAGAAAGCATTTCCTGAAATGCTATAATAGAAAAATTAATCAGGTGGCTGAAGAAGGAAACTTGAGACATGCTATATGTGAAACGATAGATATAATTCATATTATGGTATTAAAAGATAAAGTTTGTAGTCCTTTGCTTTGTTGATACTGATATTATGAAAATGACTCCCCACAGAATTAAATCACAAGAAATTTGAATTTTGTGGAGGTTGATAAGGCAACTGGTATGGCAAAAAGGAATTGGCAGATTTTCTAGTTGCTTTCTTTGGAAGTACAGATGATTTTTGACTATCTATCTGCAGGAAGTTACGACTGACCTGAAAAAGGGAACATGACCTGGATTTGAAGTTCCGATGGTCAGGTCTCCTCTGCGGTCATTTAACCAAGCTGTAGGAATTCAGTAATAGAGTCACATTCATGGCTATTTGCAGTGTCCCATGGTCATATGACCATGTTCTTCAATGATTTTGCTGAAAACTGGCATTTACTTCATATTTCTGACAAAGTTGCCCCACAATATTATCTTAACCACCACTGCAGTTTAGACACCTAGGGTCTGAGAGCTCTATTCTTGCCTTAGGTTAGGCCAGTCAATAGGAGACACCAAGTTCTAGTTCTGCCTTAAACATGAAAACTAGCTCGGTGACTTTAGGCCAGTTATTCTTTCTCGGCCAGATCCACCTCACAGGGTGGTTGTTGTGGAGCAAATAGGTGGCGGGAGGAGTATGTTCATTATCTTGAATTGTTTGTAAAAATAATAAGGGTGAGGAATAAATTTAATGAATAAGCCATTTGATGGTTGGTTTTTGACTGCACTAATGTATATGCCATTGTATATTTATTTACTTATTTAATTGTTTACTCACTCTTTCTCCTCTTCTGGCTTTCATGCCTAAGGTGGGACTAGAATTCCCAATCTCTTTATTTCTAGACTAGCACAGCTACATCAAGCTGTCTAATAGAAACCATTATACGCCATAGTAGATAACAAATTATGGTTTATAGCTTATTCAGTAAGCCACGAATAAAGCAAATCATGGTCTAGCCCTAGAGCAAAACATCTGACTCCAGCCTTTACCAAAATCACTTTTCAGAAATGCTGAAAATGAAGTTACTTCTACACTGCCTACAATGATGCAATGCACAATCAGGGTTAGTCCTTCTCAACAAATAAGCACAGATGCTTTCCCAATGTGGCCACCAGAGGGGGCATGTGCACCGTGCGCTCCTTCGTTAGTGTTGGCTCCTGCTCTTCCCTCCATTTAGGATGACATGTAACTTGTGATTTAATGTTTAGAACTTCTTCATATTTCTTCCTTCAGTGTTTCCTTTAAAGAATTGCTTTTGCTAGTTCCTATAGCACTTTTTCTTCTTTTTGTAGCTACCTGTTTATTGGATTGCATTTAGTTTAAAGGGGGCTTCTGTTTTTTAGGATTTGTAAATGAGCAATGTTACTCAAATCCATCTTTTGGGTTAAATCTGTCCCTGGAATTGAGCAGTCAGCAAATGTAGATGGATGGATGGATGGATGGTGGATGGATGGATGGATGGATGGATGGATGGATGGATGGATGGATGGATAGATAGATAGATAGATAGATAGGGCAACCAAAAAAGAAAAGTGAGGAAGGGAAGGAGGAAGGAAGGAAGGAGGGAGAGAGAGAGAGAGAGAGAGAGAAAAGTTAGATAAGAGAGTCTAGAAGCATAGACAGATTGACAAAAAAAGTAGAACTACCCAAATCAGTTAATTCCAGCTCCATTGGTTTTGCTCACTCGGAACTCCCAAGAGTTGTAATCTGGGCACCAGCAGAAAGTTGGCCTCTGTCCTTTTGCTATTGCTCAGTAATTAAGAACTGCGGCTTTGTAAAAAAACACAACCTGCCCTCACTTTCTTTTACAACAGTTGTCCTTATGGACAATGAACATGTATTTCCCTATCGTTCAAGGATGCACCTGAAACCTAAGCATGAAAAGTAATATGAAGGCTGAACCTTCGTTGTCATAGGATATACTTTTCTGCTGCAGCTGAATTTGGGGGGGGGGGGAGTTGATTTAGCCATAGTTGTGTTAGTAAGCTTCCCAAAGTGTGTCTCTCTTGCTGAAGCTGGTAAAAGTCCTGTACTGTAAAAGTCCAGTACATTTACATTACTGACATGTACATGTACTGTACTGTACATGTCCCTTGCATGTAACAATCAAGTTCTGTTTTTGTTGTGCACTTATCCTTTGGAGGGCATGACTTCAGCAGTCAGGAGGCTCACTTGCCGTCTTAAGGGCTACGTGCCACTTTTTCCTTCGCCGTAGGCGGAAGCATTGTTTAGTTTAATGTTATCAGGGTTACGGTCTCTGAGTTTTGAAGGTTTCCTGCTATTGTTCAGAAACTGGCACTTGCTTTCCCCGCTCCCTGGTCATCATCCTTCCAACTGCAGGTCACCTAAATGTTATCGGGCTTTGGTCTCCTGAGTTGGACTGAGTTCTGATAAAATGGAGCCTCTGGTGGCGGCTTTCCAGGACAATCTGTTAAGCACCACTTTCTGTTTGAAGCCTGTAAGTCAGATGTTTTGGTTCCCTAGGAGAGTGAGGGAAAACACATTTTATTATTATTTGTTTAACACAGGCATGTCCAACCTGTTGTGTGCGGGCTGCATGCAGCCCTGGACGGCTAGTAATGCAGCCCCACAAGATAAATAGAGGATGTTTGTTATTTACGTACATTAGCTATATGATAATACAGATAGTCCACGACTTACAACAGTTCATTTAATGACTGTTCAAAGTTACAACGGCACTGAAAAAAGTGAGTTATGACTGTTTTTTACACTTACGACCGTTGCAGCATCCCTATAGTCAAGCGATCAAAGTTTAGACACTTGTCAACTGACTCATATTTATGACGGTTGCAGTGTCCCGGGGTCACATGATCCCCTTTTGAGATCTTCCAACAAGCAAAATCAAACAGGGAAGCCAGATTCACTGAACTATGTCACTGACTTGACAACTTCAGTGATTTTCTTAACAATTGTGGCAAGAAAGGTCGTAAATAGGGCAAAATTCACTTAACGAATTGCTCACTTAGCAACAGAAATGGTGGTCATAAGTCGAGGACTACCTGTATTTTATATACAGCCCAGGAGAGTTCCTCTTCACTCAGTGTGGCCCAGGTAAGCCAAAAGGTTGGACACCTATGGTTTAACAGAACAATGAGCTTGGATTATCTTGCCGACTGTTAAAAGTATGTTCTGTTAACCCTCTGAGGAGGAGAAAGCTTACAAAGCATTTTTATTTAAAGATACATTTGCACTGAATCACCAAGGAAGTCAAAAGAATTTGAAAAGTTTTGGTTTTGGCATGGTTTAGAACTGGCAAGCAAGCCATCACATTTTTTGAAGTCCCTCATGTTAGAAAACAAGACTAACAGACAGCCATTTCCTCCCTGATATTGTTCCATCTGTGTTGAGCCAGACTGTCCCAGTGCTAAGATTTCAAACAGTTGCAAAGGAAGCAACTAATAGAACCATCCCATTTCTCTGGTGCAGTTAGTCCTTGATTTATGACCACGATTGAGCCCCAAATGTCTGTTGTTAAGTGAGACATTCGTTAAGTGAATTTTGCCCCAATTTCCCATCTCTCTTGTCACAGTTGTACGGTGACTCACTGCAGTCGGTAAGTTAGTAACATGGTTGTTAAGTGAATCTGGCTTCCCCGTTGATTTTGCCTGACTGAAGATCACAAAATGTGATCACATGACCCCGGGATACTTCAACCGTCATCAATATGAGTCATTTGTCAAACGTCTGAATTTTGATCACATGACCACAGGGATGCCGCAGTGGTTGGAAGTATGAAAACAGGTCATAAGTCCCTTTTTAAAGTGCGGTTGTTACTTTGAACGGTCACTAAATGAATTGCTGTAAGTTGAGGACTGTCTGTATTAAGATTCTGTTTGCCTTGCCAGTTCCAGGCTGAAGACATGCCCCATTGCCTCTTCGTTATCCTTCACAATCATCTATGAAGGAAAAGATACTGAGTTCTTGTCACCTGGCTCTTTAGGGATATAAAATGGGTTTTTGATTTTGTTTTGGTTGTATTTCTCTTCCTTTTTAAATATCTTTTTAAATCCCAACTTTATTCCTTTTTAATAAACAACTCAAGGCAGCAAACCCTTTGAGCTGAGCTGAGTGATTGGCCCAAAGTCCCCAAACAGACTGTCATCCTTAAGGTGGGACTAGAACTCTCAGTCTCCTGGTTTCTAGCATGGTATCTCCTCCCCCACCCAGACCAAACAGGTTCCTTTGCTCTGTTTTCAACTCATATTGCCCTTATTTATTAACGTACATCTTTTTTTGTGGTGAAAAATGTGTGGGACACTCCTTGAAGACCACAGCAGTTAAATGATTACCCAGGGAATAATCTCACTAAATGTGAAGAATATTTTATATTAGGGAAGGACAGTTTGTTTTCTACTTTGTATAAACTTCAAACAGTGGCTGTCCTCTTAGTAAAGTTGAACGGTATGTAAAAGTAGAGGCTTACTGCTTTAGGGAGAAGCTGAAGGGAGGTCCAGTTTTAGGTGTTTTCTCCACCCTGATTTAATCATGTTCTAAACCATGCAAGTAAATTGCTCTATTTAGCAGAAAAATGAAAGGGAGGGAAGGGAAAGGTTTGTCTCTGATTTTGAGCTGTGATTTGTTTATGGTTAATGCCACTTTGGATGTTATAGGTTTTCCTACAGAGAATGTTTGTGAAAGGAGGACAAAAGAAAAAAAAACACACACACAAAAAGCAATGTGTCCACAAAATTAAAAGCCTGAGAGTACATGGAAATAAGTATAGTCAATCAACATAGGAAAAAAAATGCAGTATTAAATGTTGCACAGATCAGGTATCAGCAAATGAAGGACTGATGTATTAGTTTCCTCTGAATGGGGAAGTGTTTTTTTTTTTTTTGTTAGCTAAGCAAACATATAGAACAGGTTGTGCCTTACAAATGACCCCACCAATTCATTATCTAGCAGTTATTGCAATCAAAGTGTTCCTGGGGCAAGGTGTAAGGCTGCTTGGAGAAAGGAATGGCCCAATACAGCTACAATGTCCCTGAGTGGTTAAATATTCTCTACCAAAAGGTAAAGGTTTCACCTGTCCAGTCATGTCCAACTCTAGAGGGCGCTGCTCATCTCCGTTTCTTTACCGGGGGAGCCAGCTTTATCCAAAAATGTTTCCATGGTCATGTGACCGGCATTTACGCCGAGGCGCATGGAATGCTGTTATTCTCCCACTAAAGTTGTACCTATTTATCTATTCACATTTGTGTGTTTTTGAGCAACTAGGTGGGCAGGAGCTGGGGCAAGGAATGGGAGCTCACCCTGTCTTACAGCGCTCGGGTCTCAAACCGGGCTGTCAGCATTCCAGCTGACAAATTCAGAGTCTTTACCCACTAAGCCATCGAGCCCCCCCTCCCCATTCTCCTCATATGAACGTTTTTTTAAAAAGGCAATGTTTATCCATAATTCATGGGTGGGCAGCGCTTTGGAATCTCAAGAGCGGTAGAAAACAAACGTTTGGAAAAAACTATTGGTTGTTGCCATGATGATGTCTGAGTTTTATGAAGCCATTTTAATTTGCATTATTGGTACCTTAATTCCGTTTGCTTTTAATAAACACAACAGTAGAAAGCACATTATACCCTCCTGTACATAAATATATATGCAGGTAACATCTGTAGTCAGAAGTCTTGGTCAGAAGGAAATTTTGTTGATTGCCAAAGCAAAATTTGAGTCTCTGGAGGGATTTCCACACATTTGGTCTTGACCCATGAAGTGTCTTTCAGTTGCATTCTGCTCAACTGTCTGTCCTTGTAGGTCCTTTCAGGGATCTCCAACAAGAAAGGCCAGCTTTCCTCATGGTGTGACTTGATTGCAAACCTTTTTTGAATCTTGAGGGTGTGAGTACCTGCCTGTTTTTGGAGAGTGCTTCTTGGTTGCGTGTTGCGAATTATGGGGTGGTCATGAGCTATGGTAGACCCAAAGTACTATCCTAGCTGTTGTAGACCTGACAAATAAAATCTGGGTTGGTTGAAAGCTTTTGAGGGCATTGAGGGAGATATTCCCAACTGATTTCAGGACTTTTTCTGCTGCTTCTCAAACAATGGTAGAAATCACGGATTTCAGAGACAGCAGGAAGTCTTCCCAATTCAGACATTTCCTCCACTTACTGCAGTGCAAATATAAATAAAGCAAACTGGAGGGAATGGTGGAGAGATGTTGGCTCTTGCTTTTAGAAACAGAAGACTATGTACATACAGGAAGACTAGTGGATATGCTAAAAAGCAGTGGCTAAAGATTAGCCATTTACATACCCAGCAGCACAGTTAAGCTGTTAGTGTTTGCCTTGTTTATAATATTAGCTGTGATTTTGATTAAAGAGTCATAGCCATAGCTCAGTCTGACCTAACTGAAGCAAAACGGCATACTCCTTGGGTTAGAAAATTGGCAGTTTTTCCATTGAAGGCTGGTGAGAGAGAAGATATTGCCAAATGCCCTGGAGGACTTATAAGAGAACCGACTATGGAAAATTTATTAACAGCGAAAAAGAAAAAAAAAAGCCCTCCCCTTTCACCCAGAATGGCAGTGTGCAACAGAACAATGCTTTCTTAAAAACAGAGTACAGAAACGACAAGCAACACGATTGCAAACAACAAAGGCACTTGGAAGGTGCTGGTTCTGTTCCCAGTGGCTTTAGCAGTAGTTGATTTGGTTGAAGTGGGCCTTGTTGTCTTACGGACTGTGTTAGTGACTTTGTTGATCCGTTGTGTGGTTGCATTTCCAGCCAGTGTAGGATTCGATGTCTGCTTTCCTATCGATATGCTGGTGCTCCCGGTTGCCCTCGGTATGCCGTCACTCCTGGTTGTCATTGTAAATTCTTTGGTGGTGTGAACTGATGACACGTTGGGGGCCAGGCTGGGTGACACGTTGGGGGCCAGGCTGGGAGCAGGTGTAGGATTCGATGTCTCCTTTCCTATCGATATGCTGGTACTCCCAGTTGCCCTCGGTATGCTGTCACTCCTGGTTGTCATTGTAAATTCTTTGGTGGTGCGAAGTGATGACACATTGGGGGCCAAGCTGGGTGACACGTTGGGGGCCAGGCTGGCCTTGCTGTTGGGGGCTTCAGAAAGAACCGTGATCTTGTTAGTGGTTTCATGAGAGGTTTTGGCAACAGAGGTGGTGTTGCCCTTGGGGGCTTTGGTAACAGATGTGACGTTGTTCTCGGGGGCAGAGGTTTTGTGGTCATCGGGAGCTTTGGTAGTAGATGTGACACTTTCCTCAGGGGTTTTAGCAACAGAGGTGGTGTTAGGAATCAGAGACAGTTGTGTGCTAGAAGTTGTAGCATCTTGGGTAGAATTTTTTGTGTCTTGCATGTAGGTAACCCTGGCAAGCAGTAGAATAATGATGGAGTACAGTTGGGGCTTCATCATGCACCTCTACAGTAGACAAAAAACAAAAGAACATTCATTTCAGACTTTGGAGGATTGCTCTCCACTGATGACCAGCCCAACAATCTTATTTCCTTTCCAAAAGTCAAATTCATGGGATTTTGCCTGAGCTTGATATTGCCTATGTTAGTATAGAATAATAGAGTTGGAAGGGACCTTGGAGGTCTTCTAGTCCAACCCCCTGCCTAAGCAGGATGCCCTACAACACTTCAGACAAAATGGTTATCCAACATCAGGGATAGGTTCATGCTATACGTTCATGCTATACGTTTTCCTGATGTCTCTGAGTGCCAGCCAAGATTTCTTTCAATGTGGCCTAGAGGGCATTTTGTAGATTAAAAGCTGAATTTATCCTTGGACCAGCATCAATCAGAGCTTAATAGTTGTGCATGTCCAGTTTATGCTCTTAATAAAAGGTATAATCTAAAGCAGGGGTCGCCAACCTTTTGGACCTCAGGGACCACTAAACTCATAATTTTAAATCCCATGGACCAGAGACCCTGGGAAAATTCCAAAGAAGTCTGCAGGAAAATTCCCCACCCTGTTTTCTACTGATCGATCATTTTTTATTTGGGATCGCATGATACAGTCTCTTGCTCCGTTCTCAGGGGGAGAAAGAGAGAGAGACTTTTTGCTTCATGCAAGGAAAGCAGCAGAAGCAGCAGAAGTCTTTCTTTCCCTCCCCCAAACTCCGCCAGAAATGAGTCTTTGCCAGCGCAGCCTGTTGGAGCAGGAGGCCTTGCAGGGTCCCAAAGACTCATTTTGGGGGTAGGGAAAGAAAGACTTCTGCTGCTTTCCTTGCATGCAGCCAAAAGAAGAAGAAGAAAGAAGCAGAAAGAAGCAGCCCGGTACCGGGCCAGGCCAGGCGTGTGGGACGAGTGGGGCAAGTTCCCCCCCTCCGCCCTTCCCCCACCTCACTAACTCGTGTTGTTCGCAGTGCAAGCAATGCAAGCCTTGTGTTCCCATGGGCCATGTGGGTGGCGCAGCCTTGTGTTCCCGCACAGCCTGGATTAATTGCTTTGGGGGGGGGGGGACATTTCTCCTAAATTTTCTCGCGGACCACCAGTGGTCCCCGGCCCACTGGTTGGCGACCAATGATCTAAAGGGATTAACACCCATAGCTTCTGATGCTATTTAGGGCTCAGCTAATACAGGTAGCCCTCGACTTACAACAGTTCATTTAGTGACCATTCAGCATTGAAAAAAGTGACTTATAACCATTTTTCACAATTACAACTTCCGCAGCATGTGAACAAAATCCAGATGCTTGTCAGCTGGTTCCTATTTATGATGGTTAGAGTGTCCCGGGGTCATGTGATCCCTTGTTACGACTTTCTGACAATGGGGAAACCAGATTCATTTAGCAACCGGATTACTAACATAACCACTGCAGGGATTCACTTAACAAATGGGGCAAGAAATGGGGCAAAAGTCACTTAACAAATGTCTCACTTAACAACAGCAATTTTGGGCTGTATTGTGGTTGTAAGTCAAGGACTACCTGTAAAGGAAAAGCTGCATTGCAATGAAGTTGCCTTTTTCACTCTTCCAGCAAGAAGTGGATTGGCTCCTTATTGAGCCTGGAAGCCCTAAAAATACCATTTCTGTATTAACTATTGTTAGGTATAAATGGATTTTTGTTCGTTTATTTCCTAGCTCAACAGATGCCAAGCGGTCTATGATGATTATATTGTCCTTGGTTTTCCTCAGACTTCCTGGGATTACAATTACAACTCCCAAAATTCCCAGTGATACAGATTAAAGATGATACAAATTATCTTCTTTATCCCCCCTCTTTATTGGTATCATGATGATGATGGTTGTCATTGTTCTGTTGCTTTGCATGTACACTGAGAGCTTCTGCTCCAGAGATGAATTCCCTGTGTGTCTAATCACACTTGGCCACATAAAGTATTCAATTCAGTTAATGAAAACTCTTTCTACTGTACTTGTGCAGTGGAAAGCATTTCCCCTTAGTCAGATTGATCCATTACAAATTCCTGAGAATTGTATGGAGAGGATGCAAGTTAAGAAAATGGGAGTTTCTTGCTTTGCCCTTTTGGTTTGTGTGTCTTTATTTGTGTCTGGATGACTTATGAGAGAAAGATCTCTTGCAGAGCACATCTGGTGAGACAGTTGTATGTTAGGCTGCAGTCTATTTAGAAAGATCATCAGATGTTTACAACTGAAATGTTCAATAGAAATCCGTGTCATTCTCTCCAGTGTCCCTGTCTCTTGTAAGTCAACATAAGACAGACAGGTCCATGTACGGATTTCTCTCTCCATATGCTTCTTTGTTTGCAAGTTCAGATGTTTCAACAATTATTTTGCACATTATACTTTCACATATTTTTCACATTTGATCATTATACTGAACTGTGCTTTCCTAATGCCCCTTTCTATGCTCATTCTAAGATGTGTATGATTATAGTGACCCTCATATGTGACCCTCCAGTATTTTAAAGACAATAATACATTCAATTTTGGTTCCTAGTGATGAAATCAAGCATGGTAGATATATTTGGAGAACTGAACCTTGCTTGTCAGTTCTTAAGGATTGGAATCTGTTTTCTGTGCTATCAGAAATTCATCCATTGAGACCCGTGTTTCCCAACCGTGGCAACTGTAAGATGTATGGACTTCATCCCCCTGAATGTTCTCGCTGGAGAATCCTGAGAGTTGGTCCACACATCTTAAAAACATCAAGGTTGAGAAACACTGATATAGATTAACATTCTCATTCTCCATACTGCTGCTTGCCAGCATTACATGGAAGTGGGGATCCAGAATAGAATAATTTACAGTAGTTGGCAGATTCCCAATCCAAATTAAACAAAAGCAGCAAAAACTCCTGTTAATCCATTCTAAAAACATGATTTTACAGGTATATATATATATATATATATAGTGGTCCTTTGCTTCTTCTGTTTCTTGTCAAGAATTAAGCATAAAACATCTTCGTATTTAAAAGAAGCTTGCTGGTCTGACATTCTTCTTACAGCCCAGCTTCTCCTCCTATTCCTATGATTCTGCTTTTGCTCCTTGAGCAAAGGAACACACACAGGAATGGGAAAAAGTTTCAAGATTTGCCATCTAAAATCCGGATCACTCTTTCTCCCACAAATATATAATTAGGATCAGGTGTCTTTAGTGCTCTCTGAGCTTGGTTTTTTCCTTGCAGACATTTCGCCAACCAAATTAGGTAACATCATCAGTGCTAGCTAGCACTGATGGCGTTACCTAGTTTGGGATAAAAAAACCGTCTGCAAGAAAACAACCAAGCTCAGAGAGCACCAAGGACCCCTCGTTTCAACCCTGAGCTACGAATATTCTCCTTTAAAATTAAGATCACTCACTCCAAAGCCAACCACCCAGGCAAAGCAAAACCTGTACATGTTTTGCACCTGATAACCTAACACATTGAGACAATAAATAAATAAATAACCAGCTAAACTACCAACACTAAACTTGCAATTCCTGTGTCCTTGGGATAAAGTGGGACAGCAGGCAAAAATCAAGGGATCAGTTACCATCATTTACAGAAATGATGCAATTACACAACTGTATCAAATTCCATACCTCTTTCTGCCTTCTCTTTTCCTTCTGAATGTCGTCTTGGAAGATGGAAAGCTCTTCCTTAGCTTAACTACTACTATCCAGACTTCGAAATAGCTGTCCCAGAATATCAAGGGTGGCAATTTATGTCAAGAGTGATGTAAGCACACAGCTAACAAAGGACTCATTTCCTTGTTTGCAAACCAAAATCCAAAGTCAATATTGTTTTAAATAGAAAGACTATCTGTATGGTTCGGGAAGTATTTTTAAAAATGTTCAAAGCATATTTCACCTCTACTGCTTGTACAGTAACAATGCACCTTATTATCTACAGCTGCTTTATTCCATGAATTGATGGATTAACATTGAATGCCCCTGAACGAGATTAAAGTATCCCAAGAGAAATTGGCAACAAGGTTTTGATCATAAGCATCGGTTAAAACTACAGATGGCTTAGGAGCATAACTATTTTAATGTTGACAGTCATATGTTGCACTTTGTTAACTTTTGCAGCCTGATTAACGAAAATCCTTGATAATTTATTATGGCAGAGAGATAGCTTATAATACTAAGGCCACCCTGCAATATTGATGGAGGAAACATATAAAAACAGTAACACAAATCTCAAAATAGATACGATAACACTTTAAAAAAAAAAAAAACCAGAGCCTCTCCTAAATTTTTTTTAAGGAGAGGGAAATCCCAGCCCTGGAAGCTTTCACTGTTTCCCTTTGTACTGCAATACTTCATCCCGCCAAAAAGAAAAAAAGAAAAAAGTTCATTGTGGACCTTGCCCACCAAAAGGATCCCTCCCAGCATTATATTCTAAACCTTTTTCAAAACACCCAAGTTTTAGGTGTGCATTCACTCCCCCTCTCTCTCTTTGACGGTTACTCCGTTTTAGAAAGGAGAGTGGGTGGCGGTAAATTTGGATGCCCCTGCCTTTTTAAAAAGTAGCATGTGCCCTTTTTTTCTTTGGTGTGAAAAGTTTTGACCTTTGTAGGGCAGCCCATGTGTGTTTTGCAGAAACCAGGGCACTGGACTGCTGATCTCTTAAGTTTGTAATGATACGGTGAGACCAACATTTCCTGACTCTGTAGTCTTTTTTTGGAATTCGGTGTGCAAAACTGAAAATGAACCGCTGGTAAATGTTGCAGCAAAAAAGCTAGACATAATCAGGTTATACAACATATTCTACTGAAGGAAGTTGGATATTGCAAAGCTGGCTGAGGAATTCTGGGGGTTGAAGTCCACAAGTCTTTAAGTTGCCAAGTTTGAGGACCCCCTGATTTAACACATCGCTGAAAGATTTACAGTAGATGTGTAAAAAAATTCTAACAAAAAGAAGGACTAGGGGTGACATGCTAGCAGTCTTTCAATACTTGAGGGGCTGCCACAAAGAAGAGAGGGGTCTACTCTCGATTGCACCTGAGGGGAGAACACGGAGTAATGGCTGGAAACTTGTTGAAGAGAGATCCAACCTAAAACTAAGGAGAAATTTCCTTTCAGTGAGACCAATTAATCAGTGGAGTTACTCACCTCCAGAACTTGTGGGTGCTCTATTACTGGAGGTTTTCTAAGAAGAGACTAGATGGTCACTTGTCTGACATAGTACGTGTCAGGATTCCGGCAGTTACTCCCATTTAAATCATGAGTCTCGAGCCAAACTTCCAAAACTTAAAAAGGATTTATTGGGAATTAAATTGTCCAGCATTGCCTGGATGTAGCTGACTCTGAGACACCTATGGCCATGGGGAACACCATAGAAATGTTTTATGAGTTGACAGTACGGTCTCCTACTTGAGCAGTGGGTTGGACTAGAAGACCTCTGAGGCCTTTTCCAAATCTGTTATTCTGTATTCAATTAAATGATCAGCACTCCCTTCCCTTCAAAATACTGCTGACTTGAAGAAAGATTAACAAGAAACCAGAAGTCAGTAGATGAGAAGGACTCTTGGATGTGAACACATAAAAAAAATAAAGAAAAGAAAAATACTTAATGCAATGGGGATTGTGTACACCCAAAAGCCCTCTCAAACATTCTGTCTTAAGGATTTCTAGAAAGCCAATAGTACCGGTGCCAACCTAATGTCCAGAGGCTGTTTCGTAATATGGAGGCTGCCACCAAACAAGACTGCCCCTTTGCCCCATCTGTCTGAGGGAAGTTGGCAGCAAGTCCCTATTGGCCGAGTTCGGAGGCTGCTTCTGTGTGGCAGACCTGTAAGTGCCACAGGATATTTTAAGTCAAAACCAGCACTTTGAATTCCATCCGGAAACTTCATGGTGAAAACTCTCTAAACCGCTTAGAGAGGGCTGTAAAGCACTGTGAAGCGGCATATAAGTCTTAAGTGCTATTGCTTTCAAGAAGAGACTGGACTGCCATCTGTCAGAAATGGTGTAGGGTCTCCTGCTTGGGCGGGGTGGGTGGATGGACTAGATGACCTACAAGGTCCCTTCCAACTCTGTTAATCTGTTTATTCCTATTCTGACTCAGAAGAGGTTGCTAAAAGGACTTGGATGCGTGTGTGTGTGTGTATGTTGTATCTTGTTTTCACTTTGTCTTTCTGGCCTTGGCACAGGTGAGCCGCACCAGACCCCTTGGCTGTTCCTTTCCCTGAGCTGACCCCATTGCAACTAGTCTTAATGAAATTGCCGTGCTGCATTTCTCTAACAATGCACCGAGCTTGTCAATTCTCCTGCCTTCATTGTTTTGCCATTCTCTCTTCCCTTGATCCACAGTGGGGAAAATATACGGTTTTCTAATGAGGAGAGCAGACCTCCTTTTTCTGAACCCTCTGCTTCAGGTAACCATGGAAATGGCTGCTGCAATATGTAACCTGTTGGGGAAGCTGCAGAGGAGGAATAGATAGAAGAACAGGCAGTTATGCCAATCCTGCCCCTCTACCTCTTGCATCCAGCTCAAACAATTTACATTCTGGTCAGGGAGCTGCTGTCCACAGCCTCTCCAAAGGGAAACGGGCGTGGATTTCTTTGCAGCCTTCATTGCTTGGAAGCTGCAGTAGCAAAGAGAAAAGAGAGCAGAACCAAAATAATTGCTCCTTGGAGCAGCATCCTCACTGTATTCACCAAGTAGGAACTTCCTGCAGCTTCTCTGTTCTTCAGCAAGTCTGTGTTTTTCAAGCTGGACAACTTTAAGGCACGTGGACTTCAATTCCCAGAATACCCCAGCCAGCAAGGTATTCTGGGAGTTGAAGTCCACATGCCTTAAAGTTGAGAAACACTTGCAGTAGCTGCATCCTACAAGTATTTTGTGGCTCTTCCTAACTTCCTGCCCACATATCAATTACAGGCCATCCTCGCCTTACAATCCTCGCCTGTTCAGAGTTCAGCTGCACTGAGAAAAAGTGACTTACAACCAGTCCTCGTGCTCATGACCTGGGTGCTTGACAATAGGCATGTATTTGCGATGGACTGTCCTAGGGTCATGTGATCAATGCTTGCAACCTTCTCAGCCAGCTTACAATCAGCAAAGTCAATGAGAGAAACTGGCTTCATTTAACGACCACATGTTTTACTTAACACCTACAGTGATTTGCTTAACCATGGCAAAAAAGGTCATAACATTGGGTGCAATTCACTTAACTCCCTTATTTAGCAATAGAAATGCAGGTCTAAATTGTGGTTGTAAGTCAAAGATTACCTGCCCATCATTCTTATTCGTGACATCTCTGATTAGCCCAGACTTCTTCAAGCTGATTCTATAATATCTGGATATGTTGCCCAAGATAATGGTTGTGTTGGTTCTCTTGGGTTTTGGAGCCCACTGACTTGGGTATACGGAAAAGACCCTGAGACACACAACCTCGACAACTTAAAAGAGATGTGGATGTCAACACTCTTTAACTTTGCTGGTTGGGGAATTCTGGGAGTTGAAGTCCACATTATTTCAAGTTGGCAAGGTTGAAAAACACTGGGATAGTGTATATTGCACTATTCGGTGTGGTTCATGGCAACCTTTCCTAAACATTAAGATTGCAATCTCCCAGATTCCCCAGTTGGTATGGCCATTGGCATTGCTGGGCAGGAAGTTTGGGAGTAGTAGCGATAGCAGTAGCACTCCAGATTGATGGCACTCCAGGATGGGTTTGCAGAGAAGGGTGTTTCCCATCCTTTGCTTCCCAGATCCTTTTCAATCTGGAGATACTAAGGCTTGGACTTCTTCCAGCCAGCCAGGTTCTCACCAATGAAACTTCATGGCAATTCCACCTGTACCTGACCTCTTTTGTTAGACTCTCATAATGAACCCCCCCCCCCCCGCTTTTTGAAAACTGCATTAAACTTAAACAAAGGAGGCTTGAGTTTAGGTAATCATTCAAGGCTGAACCTTCTGAAGGCATCCATTAAGCAATAATGGACGCCTTCAGAGATGGGGCTCCATCCAGAGCTAGGTAGACAGTTCCTGTGTGCCCACACCTGCGTGGCACGTCAGGGCATTTTATTATATGCCATGTTCACCTGATTAAATGATGCAGACATATTTATCTCAGTTTGTGGTTCTAAGCCAAGGGTGAGGAACTATGGCCCCTTTATGACTTGGGGACTTCAATTCCCAGAATTCCTGAGCCAGCATGGCTGGGTCAGGAATTCTGGGAGTTGAAGTCCGCAAGTCATAAAAGGGCCATAGTTCCCCACCTCTGTTAAGCCCTCAAAAATGCAACATTGGCTCACCTTAAACTTTGCGGTTAGTTTCCAGACTACTAAGTCACTGTGTTCATTTATCAATGAAAAATGGTTCCTGTACTGTGGAAGAATGGAAAGCTGGCCTTAGGAATGAGGGGGGAGTGAGCAAACTGTTGCAGAGGGAACTTTCAGAAAATATTATTCTGCTCGACAAAGAGGGAAGCACATGAAAGAAACTCAAAATGACCCCTGGATTCTGTTTAGTACTAGCTGGGTCAGAGAGAAACTCAACTGGGCTTGCAAGATTCTATTGTTCTACTCTACAGCAGTCAAAAGCATTACCTGAATCCATGCTATGCTTGTGTGGTTGACCTTGCCTGCCTCGCAGGGCTGACCGTTGGGTAGAAATTTGATGAAAGAAATCAAATACAGTAGGTCTCCTCTCCCCAACCTGAGGCTGAGTGAGCATGGGGCCATTGATGTTGACTTTCAACCTATGTGGAGGATTATGACATTAAGAGAGCT